TTATTTTTCATTAAAAATTATTGAAAGTAACTTTAAACTCTGTTAGTATTCTTCACATATTAATGCTCATAACTGATAAAGTATTCATTGCTAATTCTATTTGTTAACTTATCGTAAAAAAGTAACCAAAAACTAGAACAAAATAAACTTAATGATAGAAAATGCAAAAATTATTTTAAACGATTACATATTTCAATGCTATTCGAGTGATGCATATTTAAAAATATAGCATAAAAATGCTTAATGCATCTGAAGCTTGCCTTCGAATATTAAAAAGCAAATGCATCAAGAAAACGATATTCTATATAACTGAACGAAAATCCATGCATATTACTCACTTTGTTCTGATCTTAACTTTTAACTTTTGACCTTTAGTAAAATTAAAACCATATCCAATCTTTTACAAAATGAAACATATTGAAGATTAAAAAAAAGTAATTGTTATTCGCATAAAATTACAAACAGATAAAATTTTGCGCAGTCATTTTTTTGCATTTTATTCGAGCATTACATCGCATGGAAATTTGATAACACTTTATGACCTTAATTTTAACCTTCAGAATTTTTGTTCACTTAATGCCAGGCAATCTAAATTATTCATCAAAACCAAATGTCTGCAATTTTATAACAAATACAATTTGGTACAAAAATATCATAAAATTTGATAACAACTGCTATTATCATTTTAACTGTTGCAATTGTTATTGATAATAAGCACTTTTTTATATTAATGTTTCAAAAAATAATTATGCAAATTAGCACAAAATATTATTATCATTCTGAACTTTGATACATTATGGTATATTACAGTAGTAATTTAGTGGATATCAAAAATGCGACTTTATAAAATTACTGTGGCATAGTTGCTACGTTGCTATCTTACTACGTGGATATGACAGAAATACAATAATACGAAGTTTTCTTAAGAATAACAATAAATAAAAAAAGAAAAATATGTGAATAATAATATCTCAAACTAAAACTACAGTAATACCATTTGTCTTTTGAGGCACTAACTGAGACTACTGTCACAACTTTTTAAATAATACAGACAGCCATTTCTGAAATACTAACCTTGAAATTGCTCCTAACACAAATGAATTAATTTCTATCTATTTTTCGATAAGTAATGACTGATGCTTATCTGCGAGCCTGTGTGAAAAATTTTGACAACTTCTATAATTTGAATAATTTTGCGCAGATTGATTGCTTTATTAGCACTTTTTTAAATAAAATTATTGATTTAAAAAAAAAGATAATTTTATATTATATTATATTATTCTTAATTTTATATATTTGAAATGGCGCATATTTATTTTTTCTCAGGAGTTTATTGCAGAATTCTAACAGCTTAACATCAGCTGTGAGAAGAAAATTATCGAGTAAGACTAGACAAGAAATGAATTGCGTAAGAGAAGTCAAGATGACGTAATTGACGTGATTTTATATTGCTTTTTCTCAGGCATCAGTTTATCTTCTACTGTATTAAATTTACTGAAATATAAATCTTTCCAAACTCGCAGGCACGACTTGAGATACCTTACGTAAATGATTGGAATTCTCACGGCTGAACAAAAGTAGACATGAATTCTTCAAGTTAACGTAAATTATTTACTTAATTAAAAACGTGAATCATAAAATTTTATTATTTGAACTGATTGAATCATGCATTATTGCAAATTTTTCCACTTTCTCTTGGCTTTTTACGATTTCAAGTCGTCTTTATCATAGCCTTATCCTCCAGTATACTGTAGCATGTACATGTAATTGTTCTGTCGAACGTAATTTCCTGACTTATCCATCTAACTTTTTCTTCTTAGCAGTCTTTGATCAGCTTAGATGTCTGCTTATAACTTGACTGTCTAACAGTATTGTAGTATAATTTTTTCATGTACATGTAATTGTTCTGTCGAACGTAATTTCCTGACTTATCCATCTAACTTTTTCTTCTTAGCAGTCTTTGATCAGCTTAGATGTCTGTTTATAACTTGACTGTCTAACAGTATTGTAGTATAATTTTTTCTACATCATACTGTAGTACAATACCGTAAATATTGATAGAATACAATCTTTTTAAAACTAAGCTTATATATCCTTGAATATAAATTTTGTTTGCTTTGGACTAATATTAGTTCATGATTAGATTATCTCTCTTATTCAAATAATAAATTTTTTCAAATAAAATTACTTGCATAATCAAGCAAACTTTTATCGATTATTTTAAAAAGTGAAGAAAGTAAGTAATTATTAAATATATATTTCGAATATTTCGATACTTTCTAGTAAAGTCAATAAATGAGAAAAATATTTTGAGATCAGTCAGACAAGTTTTTGAAAGTATTGATTGATTTTTTAAATTATGGGAGTAAATTGTTGCACTCATCATTAGTAATAAGCTCGGGTTGTTAAGCCGTCGTGTTGTTTACTAAGTTTGTTCGTATTGATCGCTTTAAGCATAATAATGTCGTATGATATCATTCAGTTATTATTTACCAATACTTGATTTTAAAATTTTTTATAGTTATAAGCTAATGTCTCGAAATGAGTTCAGAATTTGTGTTTGCTTTGAATTAAAACCGAACTTTTATTTTTTAGTCATTGAAATTTCGGTTTTTATTTTTGAAATGTCATTTTTTCGAATTTCCGTCAAATTTTAATTACGCCATTTCAAGTATTGAATGAGACAGGCGAGATATAGTCAGGGGTTGATTTGATGGCGTACTTCACTGACGTGATTAGCTCTGAGCTGTCTAAACGTCACATATAGATTCTTATGAGACATTAAGTATAACAAATGAATGTGTATTTACTCAGAATGTGATATTGTGTCAGCTTGGTTATTTTAATGATAAATAGTAATTATTTCATAAATTAAAATGGAAAGGTTGATATGCTCTGTGCAGACATATGCCTGGGGATCACGTGGAAGCAAAAGTGTAGTCGCAAACCTCAAACATTCCGCTGATCAAGAATTTGTGATCGATGAAGCTAAACCTTATGCAGAAGTCAGTTGTATTTTCTTATTGTTCTATTCTTTTAAAAGAATTAGTTCAGGCAGTAAGTAAACAGCAGCTTAAATTATTATTTTCAGAACAGAAATCTTCAAATGATGTTAGTAGATCAACTCAACTGCTGTAAATAATGCTTTTTATTGATAATTAAATTGATCTGTTGACGTGAAGTAGAGGTTTCAGAAATAAATTTAAGATGAATCTCAGCTTGCATTTAATTGCTTTCTTAAAACGGCATCGGTCAGCATTATTAATGCTTCCCATTTTTTTTAAAAATTTAATAAGGTATCGTTGTTATCTTCTGAAGCACACTCAGAAGACATTTCTATATCATGCAAATTTATTTTAGCTATGGATGGGTGTACATGCAAATGGACCATCGAAAATTGCATCAAATGGCAAACTTTTGTCAGAAGTAATAAGTAAATCACAATCTCTTCTAGCAGATCATGAAAATGGAACTCTGCAGTTTTTGTTCAAAATATTATCAGTAAATCAAGCATTATCAATACAAAGTCATCCAGACAAAGTTTGTTTTCTTTATGTCTAAAGTTTAAATCTCATACAAATTTGGGATTAGCAATTTAGCATTAACAGTCTATATGTGGCTCAGAAGTTATAAAGCATGTACAAGAAAATGAAAATGTTCTGTTGGAAAAACTTTTTATTTCACAGTTTTAGAAATTCTGAGAATTGTAGTACTTACTTCATTAGTCTTCGTTTCATCAGTAGCTAATATTAAAGATATGCAAATCTGATAATCATATTTTGTTTCTTTTTCATTTCACTAGAATTTTTTTCACATTTTACTATAGAGCATTTTTCAGAATAAAGCAAAAATACTGCACGAACGTGATCCAACACATTATCCTGATGCTAACCACAAACCAGAATTAGCTATTGCTTTATCCAGTTTTCAGCTATTAAGTGGTTTTCGTCAGTCGCATGAAATCTATGACAATATCAAAAGTTTATAATTTTTATTATGTAAAAAAAAACTGTCAAATTGGATATTCAAATGTTTATTTGAATAATATATTTAGTACTTTTACTGCAATGTTTATCAGTTTTATTTTGATTAGTGATTATTCATCATTTATTGTTGTTTTTTATCGTAAGCTTGAAGAAAAAAGAGTTTTCTTAACCCATTTTTTTAATAACGTTTTTTCAGGTTTTCCAGAGCTCGAGAGTTTAATAAATTCAAAAAGTGCTATTGAAATTCTAAAAAGTGGTAATATCGATGAAAAACGAGTGGCTCTAAAAAAAATATTCTCCGAGTATATACGTTCATCAAATGAAAATGTGCTAAAAGCTGTAGAGCAATTGTATGAACGTCTTAAAAAAATTAAGTTTTAAAATGTTGTAAAGGTTTTAAAGCTCTAAAAAGATTGTATTGGAATGAATCGCACTATAGAAACTGTTACATTAGTGTATTCATAAAGCTTTAATTTAGTTTGTTACTTTCTATTGCAGAAAATAATCGTTGCACGCTTGAAGAATTACTTGTTCGATTAAATAGTGAATATCCTGGTGATGTTGGTATCTTTGCACCTCTTTTCTTAAATTATTTTACGCTTGAACGAGGTGAAGCAGTATTTATGGGACCAAATTCTCCACATGCATATCTTTTTGGAGGTAAGAATTTGGTACTTTAAAAGTATTTAAAATATTCAGTTGTTTAAAATTTTTTAGCGGTCATTGTTGATATTTTGTTACTCAGTTATTTTGTTTTAATTAAAAACGCAATCACAATCCTTACATAAATTTTTATAGTTCTATTTCATATTCTTGTGTTTTTTTTTTCACAATTGCAGGAATTCTTTCACACTGTAAATTACAAAAATTTATTTAACGATGAAAAACACATTCTCCACTAAATAAACACTTAATTTTTAATTTTTTGTAAATATCAAGTTTGATTATATTTTTACATCTTCAGAACCTTTTTATCAAAGAGTAAAGTATACTGTTCATCAGCTATACCAATTCTTTTATTTTGCTATTTATGCTGTAAAATTTACAATAAAGTTCACTAATTTTGATATTTGTATCTCAGAGTTTCTAAGTTTATAGTTGTCTTTTCAGATTGTGTTGAGTGTATGGGTTGTTCAGACAATACAGTTCGTGCTGGACTGACACCAAAATTTAAGGATGTCGATACACTTTGTTCTGATCTAACATTTGAAATGATCGAACCACCACATTTTTTCCCCAAAACGATCGCTACCGGTATTAGAGAATATGCTCCGCCGGTTTCAGAGTTTGCTGTTCATGAAATTGGAGTAAGTACTTGTATTGACAAATTTCTGTTTAATATCTAAATGCAATTTACACAGCCCCATATATGTACTCATATATGAGTATATTTTATTGCTGATTATTTAAGGATCTAAGTATTAATTATGTCAGTTATTAGTGGTAATAACAGCCTTGTGCATATGAGTATACTAATATACTTTGAGTATGTAATCACCATTAATGTTTATGATAGTGACAGTATATGTAACACACTAAACATTCATAGAACCAAGCATTACCGGAACATATTGCTCTGGATAGTAGTTGTCGTTGTTTTCTACGACTGAATTCATTTCTGTGTATAAATTAAAATTATTGTCAGATTATATGAATATTTATTATGATCTCATTCCAGAGCAGTGCAAATGAATTGTCAAATGTTGGTGCTAGTAGCATTATTATCACGGTGAAGGGGTCAACTGAAATGCACACTGATGCGAAGAAATTTAATGCCAAGCGAGGTGAAGTATACTTCATACCCGTCAATGTACCCCATGTACTCATCAAACCATCCGCTGACTTTTTAGCTTACCGAGCATTTACTCCTAAAAGATAGCTAGGTCCCACTACACCTTTTCTTTTTACTCACAGATGAATGGAGTCAGCCCTTCTACCCCATCCATTCCAAAACTTCAGGCGATTTATTTAGGAGTTAAAAAGTGTATCAATGTCGAACTTGTTAGCTGCAGATCACGTAATAGAAAGTGGAATAAACGCAACTTCTCGTGTCGAATTTCCACTTACTGCTTTATGTCTTCGTCTTCCTACATTTACCTCACTATCAACACTTAATAAGACTAGCAGATTATGAGTACTTCATATCAATATTTCACCTCTGATTATATTATGCATCATGAACTTCACATCGTACTCTCTCTACAGTACCCCATTGCAGGCCTTCAATCCCTTGTTCCACTACTTTGTCATACGTATTCAGTAAGCATTCCCATCCGTTTTTTTCACCATTATCTTGTAAAGAAATAGTTTGCCGCTTTAATCTCGAAATAGAATTGCAAGAATGAAACAAAATATAGGTTACAAACAGTCAGGAAATAATTTCTGAGGATTAATTCAACGACGTAATAAGATGTGAAGTTATTCGTGAAAACCAGTTATTCGTGAAAACCAATCTATGCTCGCAAAAGATACCGGATCAATGCAGTACTTACTAACTTGGAAGAATCACGGTTTTCAAGTGAGACAAGCTTTGAGACATGGAATCACGGGATGACAAGTATTATGCAGGCCATCGCAATATGGCTTTCTCAATTTCCTCTTAATTCTTTAAGGAAGGCAGTCCGTTGAACAAACATTCTTGAGAAAGATAGTGGAGCAATCGAGCATTTGCTCACAAGTTTTGCCAGGTTTTAATATGACAGCAACATGTCAGGTGGATCTCTGGCTCATGCATTGATAAGATTCATAAATGTTTAACATCATAAACTAAGCTACATTACTGAAATTAGTGCGCAACAGATAAAGTGGATGGACAAGGCCTAAAGATGTGGGTTTATGGATCCGGAGAGACCTTCACTGAAGAACAGTAAAAAGAACTACAAAGAAACAAGGGAACAATGAGCGAGATTTTTAAATATCTGATGAAAAACTGATACATTAGGATCCAAATCAGGAAATTTCTGTCATGAGCTTCATGCATACATACACAATATAACATGTGAACAACCGAACAAAGACTTCGGGTCAAAGCGAGTATGATTAGACTATCAAAAATCACCTTTTCCCAAAGTGGTTCAGGAGATAAACCACAATTCACTGACCAAAATCCAGTCGTTTCTTAATTTTAAAACCATAAATGAAATAAAATGTGAGCAAAAAGTAGCGTCAAAACCAGTGGTGCTTACTGGCAAATCTGGAACATGTCGAAATCACAAACACTCTAAGATACTTAAACTATAAAACACACTCAAACTCACACAGCTTGAACTGATCAAAATACAAACTCAACAAGAAACCCGTTTCACAAGACATACTCTTATCAAATCAAACGATAACTTGTTTCACGCACTTTCGATAACATTAATGAACTTTCACCCTCCCGGCCATATATGAAATAGGACCATCTTTATAAATGACGCAGCATTTGAAAGAAAGCAATACGAAGAACTTAGCTAGAAATGCGTCAAAAAATAGACTTGAAGGGTGAAAAATAGTAAAACAAACCCATGAAAAAAAAAAACATGCTAACACTCACCTGCATCTCTCTCAAAAAATGAACTACAAACTATATACTCTCACCTCCAACACAGGCAAACGTCAAATTCAGTCAAAAGACAGTTCCCATAGTTCCACACGGAAAACAAAAATATTCAATCACTTTAAAGTGCTACTTAGATTAACGTTTAAAATTAGTTGTCTTTTGTATAAAATCATTAAGGTCAGCGAACGTGAATAAATAAGGGGATATATGCGCAAGCACATAAAAATCATGAGAACAGATAAATTTTAAGCGAATAATAACTGCTTTCACCTATCTTTAAAAAGAAAAAAGTCACTATCTAAAGCACAAGAAAGAAATTTACCTTATGAAATAGACATTATTAATAGTTGCTTTCCGTTGAAATTGAATCATTCATTCAAATTAAACAAACGAATTCAGTCATTCAAAGAACTGAACTGTAATAATACAGATGAACTGGGTTGATCGAGAAACATTCCGATGGAACAATAAAGGTCTCTCCATTTTATAGAAATGTCAAGAAAAAGCATTTTCCTAATGACAGAAAACATTTTCTTCTGACTTATACTTCTTAAAAGGTTCAATACCTCCAACACATAATATCAGTAAGAAAAGAGTACGATAAAGGACATAATGAAACTTCTTTAAAAAAGGACACTCCTATTACTGAAACGAAAAGCCCTCAGACGGCACGTTCTGCTGAGATGATTCAAAGAAGTGATCTCCTGCTATCCCATCATCACCGTTCTCCGAAAAGTAATTATCGATAATTTCATAAGCTAATTTGTAGATTTCTTCACTTTCATGGTTTTGCAAATGCTCGATTTTATCGAGACCTGGAATGAAATTTACATCTTTATGTTTATTAAAGATCTGAATATACAGGCACCAGATTTCCAATTCACAAAAGGCATCGCCACTTTAAACGTTAGAATTATTTCTGATAAGTACGGTAATGTTAAAAGAAGGACGTTTAATAAGATTGCAAATAAGTGAATGACTTAAAATCCAATTCGGTTGTCACAGTACATAGTCATTTTATGATTACTACAAATATCGTCACAAACCAAGCAAAAACTTTCTTGTTGCACACTTACTCGAAAGTAAGAACGCAGCTTTAATAAACATAAAAATTAGAACAGTTGCTTCTTCATGCTTGAAATGAAATCATTAAAAAAATAATCCATACCTCCACATTCTTCAATCATTGTGCAAACTGCTTCCGAGCGAGGACCAGCCATTTTAAGAATATTGTTTACACCATCCAAAACAACTTGCACGATTTGTGGATCACGTATGGAGAGGAGAGCACAAAACGGTGGGATAACATTCTGTGAAATCATATATTCTACTTGATCAGCACGCCCACTGATTGTTACATTCGAGACTGCCCATGCTGCTTCCTAAACAACATATGTATAATTTACTAAAGACTGACTTACGAGAAATCAATGCATTGACTTAAAAATGTTTTGAAATGAATAACCTTCTGCGTTTGAAAATCTCCTTTCTGTAGTAAATGAATGATCATTGGGATAAGCCCAGCATCGATAACAGCTTGTACTTGTGCTTGATTTCCAGCCGTTATGTTTGACAAAAACCAAACAGCCTCCTACAATACGCACACAAGTTCACAATTAAACCATAACAACTTTTAAATCAAAAAAACTTTCCTGAAAACATAAACAAGAATGCATTAAAAACCTTATTGATTTTCTCTTTTTGATGTGTTAACAATGCAGGCATTTGCTGTAAGACACCACAGTCCAGTACCAGCTGCGTCTGTTCATCTGTTCCAGTAACAATGTTGCCTACAGCACGCAAAGCTGCGGTTTGCACCTTTATTTCAGGATGTGCGAGGAGTGGTACCAAATTTGTTACAACCTACAAATCTAAGACAATGATGATAACCAGTCCGCAACATGAAACTGTAAATAAAGAAATGCAGAGTGCAATACATGCACCAATAAACTAGTAATTAAGAAAAACTTACGCCACTATTAATGACCATCTGAATTTGTTCATTTCCGCCATCTGTTAGATATGATAATGCCCATACTGTATCAACCAAGATGTTTTGGTCTACATGACTTATCAGGGCTGCCAAAGCAGGCAAAAGAGTTTGGACAATTTCTGGTGACGGTGGAGGATCCTAGAAATGATAGTTTTTATGCAGTAAGTTTACATAATTGTTATCAATTAATGAGTAAGAAATGGAGAGAACAAACCTTAGATCGACACAAGTTCACGATTACCCAAGTGACATTACGAAGGAATCCTATCGGGATGCCTGGTGTGATGAATTTCAGTAACGGTTCAACAATTCCAAGCTGAATGCAATAATCGCGGAAATGAGGTCCATCACCTACAAATTATTTTTGCTAAATTTAAACGAAATAAAATCTAAAATTAAAAAAAAACAGTAAACAATATTTACAAACTCTTCAAAAGTTAATAAGTTTCTACACACTTTCATATGAGATAAGCAAGTATTTGGGTATATTAACTTGCATTCATACAATATTATCATAAATTCACGTCAAAAACTGACTGCAATTTCTTAAAAATATATAAGAAATAAACAAAGAAGCAATTATTTTAAATCGAAACCCATCAAATACGGAGCATAAGTTCTAAAAATTATTGTAATAATAAAGAATAATGAATTTGCAAGACTTTTTATTCATTACAAACCAATAGTACCAATAATATTTCCAAGAGCCCAAACAGCTTGTTCGCAGACATTCATATTGCCTGAAGAAAGAAGTTCCAAAAACAGCGGCACAGCACCAGCCTGAACGACAGCTTGTGTTTGTTGTGAAGTTCCTGATGCAATATTTGTTAGTGCCCACGCTGCTTCAAACTGAAGTGTCACGCTGAAAAAAAAGAAAGATTTAGGACGATAGAATGAATCTTTTTTCAGTTGTCCCTTAAAATCATATTTTGAATTTGGAAAAGCAAATTGGAACGAATATGCTTTAAACTTAGGACTAGGTCTGTAGTGGTACGTATTACACAACCAAGTTCCGTTCAATAAACAAACGCACTCAACCTAATTAAAATCTAACAACATATTTCATTTGATCAAATATCTCTCTATGAAACGTACTTGCTCGAACTTAAACAGTGAACCAATATCGGCAAAATACCAGATGCAATCAGATCATCAATTGGCGGATTACGATCAGATGAAAGCAATTTCCGAGCCTCAAATAATTCCCTTAACTTTATGATTAATTTCTTACACGAATATGCAAATTTTCATACATTAATGTGAAAAATAGATCTACAGAGAAACGGTTTCAACAAAAGAAGTATTTTTGCAGTAAGTTACTTGTTGCACGGCAGATAACTGAATCTCTTGATCTTGACTGTTAGCTCGTTTGACTATGTCTTCTAGAGTAGTACGATTGAAAGCTCCGTTGAGAAATGCACTACCAGCACTAGTTGATGCATCATCAGATTCTAATGACCTTAAATGCCAAATCATATTTTTATTCATTTTAAAATACCCTACCACATCTCCAATTTTTAATTATTAAGTTAACAAAAAACTATCTTACTCAAAAGGTATATTACGCCTTTTTGATAAAGTTTCTTCTCTTTTATCTTTGCGGATCGAAATAATGTTTTCTGCGCGATTCTTTCGCAGAGCCTCGCTGTCTTTTCCCATATTTTTGTACTGAGTCTGCCGTGACTCCGTCATTTTGTTTTTTATTTAACTTGAAGTTTACGTTGAGAAATCACTGAACTAAAATTGTTGAAACAAAATTACAAGGCCGCATTTTGAATGCAGAAAAAACAATCCGTTTTACATCCGTTCCACATCGAACAAAACAACAATCTCGAAACGACGCGCACAAAACACTCGTAGTAATTAAAAAATAATTTAGTAAGTAAAAGATATGATACTCAATAATAATCTAACTTCAAAAAATTCTACAATTTGCTTTAAAAACTACATTTCAATTCATCGATCATTCCCATCTTTTTATCAGTACAAACAACTGTTGCTCCAAAACTCTCAAGCATGTAGTTTAATTACATATCGGTTAAGATAATGAACTACAAAGTTTACTCTTGACCATCTTAAAACGCAAGGGAATTTTATTTGTAATTAATCTGAAGGAAACTAAACTTGAGAAAATCCAGTAAACAAATTGTACTGACAACTAGGTATACAATCAAAAACTTTAAAGTAATTTTATGAATATATTCACATCTTGTGCAATTAATCATATCATTTGAACAGGAACCATCAGTATATCATTAGACCAGAAAGAGTAGGGCAAAATCAATCAATTACTAATAAAAACACCATACATGCATCAAACTCTACAGTAATAAACGTGTATTAACAAGATTAAATACTAAATTACGCTGCATTAAATGCATATTAAAAGTATAGATGCTAAAAAATTACTCCACCAACTAGTCTTGCCTACTCAAGCTCCCTAAATCAGTTAAATCTGTTTTTACGACTAAATATATGACTTATACGTAGCTCATAAAATGGATTTGCAGTTTCGATCAATAAAACAAATTTCGTATCAACTTGGACCTCAACCAACCATTGAGCGTCAATTTGACCTAATCTGATTGACAGAAATCAAGATGATGCTTAGCAGTAATAACACAATTTTCGAATCCTACGAAATTAACCTCGACTCATCAAACCCTTACCTTGCTCACTGCACCCAACGTAACGGTAACGCTTCAAATAATCAACAATGTATCACTGGGATCAAGTGGAAATACATTTCTAAGCATATTGCGGCCCCGCGGTCCAACTAATTTTGAATACATTATGAAATACTACTCCATCCTTCGTCTATCTTATAATTTTAATAGAGTGCTACCCTACTAATTTTTGTTAAGTGGTCGTTTGACGGCGAGGACGTGATTTCAAAGTTTGTTCCAAAGATTCTATATAAGTGCCGTGTTGTTCCAAATTCTGTTTTTTTTGTCGAACTCATTAGTGAACAAACTTATTACTAGCAGTCATATTCAAACTAATATTAGCATTTGCAAAAATCTATATATTTTTTTGTTGTCAGCTAAGTTTATTGCATATGAATTAGAGAAATGTGAGTAAAATTTAGATTCATACTTCATCTGTCTTTTTTGAACGATTTATCGAAAGTAATCGATTTCGTTATTTAATCAGTCATCTTAAGTTTATGATTCTGTTGGAGGTAATGTAATTTGACTCGTAAACTAGCAGTTTAAAAAGCTAAAAGGCACATTTTGTTATTTATGTATGTCATAGCGTGGTTTGGAGTGTTTTGCGAATATTCTCTAATTAATCAGTCATTTTTTTCGCATTAATTATGATAATAATAATTTTTATCCTTTAAAATGTAATAAGTTTTTTTGATTTTTACGTTGATTTTTTTCTATTTTCATTGTCATGGCTCCTTTTTATATATGTTAATTATAATTATAATAATATATGTTAGTTATAATCAATGTCTGCAAGATGTGAGGGCAGCAATTTTTTTATTTTTTAACAATATTATTGCTATTGTTACTGACATTATTACTATAAATGTTGATATTAATGTGTAGTAACTTTTTCGTTTAGTTATATTGGATTATTGAATAGTCTTCAGATGTCTTCGCATGTGGCACAAGAATTAAAAGAAGCTGGTAACAACTTTTATCAGCAGCATCGTTATGAAGACGCTATTAATGCATATAGTCGGTTAGTCTTATATGTTATAAATTTAGTAGATTCTTCAAGTAATGTATCGAGGCAAATTGTTCTTCCTAATATAAAGTTAACTGTCACACAATCAGTTGTTTGAAATTAATCTATTCTCAGCTTTTTTTATGTACTATAATTCATGCTGTGGAAAAGTATAAAAGCATCGTAGGACGAAAGAAACAAATTATTGGATGTGAAGATGCTTCCGATAATAACCAGTCGCATGAGTTTTTTTTTTATTTTGTTAAAAATTTTTTTAAAATTTCAGAGCTATAATTAACAATCCTGTGGTCCCAACTTATTTCACTAATCGAGCTCTGTGTTATATGCAGACCCTGCAATGGGGAAAAGCTGAAGATGATTGTAAGAAAGCATTAGATTTGGATCGCAAAAACGTCAAGGCTAATATTTTTGATTTTTTTTTGGTGTGACTGTATGATTACCATAAACTGAGTGAAATATTGGTTAATAGAAAGAGGTGTGTCTTGCTATCAGATTCAGGAAGAATCAAGTAATGGTAATGCATAAATAAATGGAAAGTAGTTATTATTGGGTGTCTAGAAACATTGGTATGAAATTCTCTCTTCTTTTATATAAAGTTTATTCTAATATCAATTCTATACAAGTCATTTATTTCAAACTTGAACTTTCGCGCAGGAAAAATTTTTGAAATAAAACTGCAGGCAAATTTCTTTCTTGGACGGACATGTATACAGCTTGGACAATTCGATGAAGCTCTGAAAGTTTTAACTAGAGCAAATGATTTAGCTCGTAGTCAGAAACTTAATTTTGGAGACGAAATAACAGCTCAAATTAGAGTGGCAAAGAAAGAAATATTCAGGAGAGAAGAAGAAAAGCGGTTTGTCAGTTGTAAAGTATACCACACTTTCTGCGGTTCTTTACCTTCAGTCACCCATCTAGTAATTCGTAATTTTTTTATTCTTTGCGATTCTCAGTTTAAGGAGGCATATCAGGATTTGTGCTGAGGTAATTTTTTTAATGTTTTTTTCAACTCGTTTTAAAAAATTTCAGGATAAAACAAGAAATTGAGTTACAGTTATATTTAAATAACCTCATTGATGAAGATCTCGAACGAAAATTGAAAAAGCTGAAAATAAATCAGGAAGCAGATGATGAAGCCGAAAATATGAATGTTGATATGGATTCAAGAAATGAAGAAATGGATTTGAGAATTGTAGCTCAGTCATTCAAGGATAAGCTTAATAGTTTGTTTGCACAGGTAATGCGAATCTTATTTCAAATATTTCAAACTGCAGTAGAATTGAATGCAGAAATTGATTTGCTTTTCTTTTATTAAGTAACTGTGAGGAAGTCAGAAGTTTCTACACTCTTAAATTGAAGATTTTTGTTGTTTAGTAAAGAATTAGACAGTAAATAATTCTAACTTTTTTTCTCGAATAGTTTGCACTTCTCTCCTTCATTCATAGTCCACAGAAATGAATTCCTTTAAACTAAGTGAGCAGTTATTCCTAATCACAATATTGACGTTAGTATATTAAGATTTTTAGGTTGATGAAAGACGACGAAAAAGAGAAGTTCCTGATTACCTTTGTGGTAAAATTAGTTTCGAAATGTTACGTGACCCTGTGATAACTCCTAGTGGCATAACTTATGATCGTGCAGATATTAAGGAGCATTTACAGCGAGTTGGCCATTTCGATCCAGTTACACGTGCCCCACTTACTGTCGACCAGCTTATACCTAATCTTGCTATGAAAGAGGTATTTTCAATCTTCTCTTTGATTTTTTCATGATCATTTCAGTGCTTATAAAATATCATCCTTTTTCTATTTTAGAAGCTTGAAATTTGTTAAAGTTTTCTTTTCTATGCATGCCGTATCATGCATTGTTATCTACTGTACATTTACTTTTAGAAAGAACTTCACATTACATCAAGTTTTCCAGGTAGTTGATCACTTCTTAAGTGAAAACCAATGGGCTATTGATGCTTGACTGTTAGCAAATTTTTTCTATTTTCGTTTGAAAACTTCCTAGGAGTTGATGTGGTGACATTATCGGCAGTATGTACAGAGTCACCGCACTTCTTATGGTGCTTGCGATTTTATGCGATGTAACCTTATTTTTTGATTGCATTTCTCCTCCATGATTTATAATACTTTGGCTAGGTATGGGTTGATCCGAACGCCTCATAATTTATCTTGTATAGTGAAGTGGCTAATTCTTCTAAAAAAATAAGAATGTTCAAAACTGAATTGAATGAGTGAAGAGGGATCTTGCTTATGACTTATTATATTTTGACTTGCTCAGAACTCATTTGATTGGTCTTATAGTAAAATACTGGTAGAAGTGAAACTTCTATTTATCTTGTGATGTGTTCCACTTCTGTGCGTCATGTAATCATTATACATTACGTTTTGTAGTCAATGTCTTTTTGTATCATTAATCTCATTTCAGAAGTTTTTGACTACTGTTGTTTACGAAAATGGCATAAATGATTTTGTTGGTAGAAATCAATCTTAAAATAAACGTTCAGACATTGTTTCATTATTAACAATAATTTTATGCTCCTGCTCTTGACAGTAAATCTTGATTCGATACACCTAAAAGCATAAATGCTTCAAAACTGCTGAACAACGGGTATAAACTGACAGTGCGGGCTATTGATGCTTGACCTGTTTTTGGCAAGAAACCCGCAAATGAAGTATAGAAAGATAGAGGAAGTAGCATGAAGATGGTGCTAGTCGATTTATGCTTCACCTTTAGAAAATAGTGTCAATAGATTGAATTACAATTCAAATGCAAATCAAATTGATGATTTATTAGTGACACGGAACGAGACGTATGAAGTAACTGAAAAACCCTACCTAGAGTCGCCTTTCCTTAAACAAATGACTGCAACATAAACAGCAACACAACAATGTATTTTAAATTACTCAACAAATCACCAATAAATTACCTAATGAAGATATATAGACAAACACTGACATATTTCTTTATTGTCCTCGATTATCCAAAGGCTTCACCTGGAAACTTTGTCTACATGATTTCTCCTGTCATTAAAATTATTTATGCAATGATTTTTTTAAATGACATTGCAATGTCGGTAATATTTAAGTTTAAATAAAATGATAAACCGAAATGAATAAGTGCAATTTGCTTGAAAACTTTACCTTATATATCCTCACAAGCCAGTGCTCAGTAGTATACGCCTCTTCTAAGAAATCGAGTTCGAAATCTTTGTTGCCAATTTCTGCATGCCTTACTCTATCAAAGCCAGTACTTTGTCCCTGCAAATAGAAATAAGGTGATCTTCAACTCATATTTTAACATATCATTTTGCAAGTCTTTTACACTTACTTGAAATCTATCATTTCTACTGAATCATATTATAGATTTTAACTACACTCGAAAACTTGCCAAAAAAACTCACATGCAGCGTATAAAGTCCACCAAATCGATAATAGCATAGTTTATACATTAAACAATTAAGCATAGTTGGCGAGGCCTCACGATCAATACGAAATTCCCCCGATTTTGTGAAATAATCTGTTTCTTTGATATGCGCTCCTTCTGGAGTTGATCCACCAATCCTGACCATCCACAAAAATTTGTTGATATCTGGAATAAATAAAGGACAGACTGCAGAACAATGACCACCTTACTGCTCGTATACTTCGAATCCAATCTATTTTTATATATTTCAGATATTCTCCATATACAAAAAATGCAAGTTCTCTAACTTTAAAATGTCACCAGAAATGATACAATATAGTTTCATGTTGAGAATGACTCTTAGTATTTTTTGATACAACAAAAATCACGAAGCGACAATACAAATCAATACTCGTTTCATTCCAAAGCACTCTTCAACTTAAATATTTCATAGAACTATGACTTGCTACTAAGCGAAACTTCGGTGTAGTTCAGGAAACTTTGCTTTAGTTGATGTTTCAAGAGAGATTACGAAATACTAGAGCCACTCGAAGTGAAATTCTGTTTGAGTTAATTTACCCTAATTTACGCTTGCGTTCCTTAAAATATGTATTCATTCTTTTTCGCTTTGTCACTTAATTTAAACGTGCAATAAACACAATTAAAAAATCGATGGGCTTTCGTAGTTATATTTTTAGAACTGAATATTTAAATTTTAACAGAAATGACCGTCAGAGGAATATCCGGTAACACCCCCAAAAATCACTAACACGTAGTCGACATCGAGCTCACGCATAATCTCGTATGCATCTTCCTCTTTAGAAGACATTGCCTAAATTGAATTAAAAGACATATGGTAACACAGCAGTGCTATAAAAATTTGTGAAAAAACAATATTAGAAGATGAATTTAAAATAAGGAATGCGAATTACAATAAGGATCCAAAACCAAAAATCAAATTTCTTAAAAGTAGAGGTTTAGGCTTTTCTGAAAGCAAACCTGTCCAACACGTGATATGTGTGTATTATTCCAAGTATTATTGTCGACTATAACTGTTCTGTTGGCCATAGCTGTAATCTGATATCCATAATCCCACCATGACATTACCTTTGATTCCTGAAATTAATTCATGTTGACCAATGCAATTTTTGGACAAAAAAATTTTTATCTTGTTGTACAAAAATCTAACTGGATGTGTGTTTTTTCGTAGCCAATAATAGGCCTCTCTAAAATCATCGAAGATGATTGTTGAACCATCACCACCATGTGCTGACAACACAATAGAAGGACTGCTATATGCTTCAGAAGTAGCCCACGTGCAATGATAGACATAAGAAAACAAGAATATTGCTACAATCGCAATCACAGTTTGAGCAACCTTAAATGATTTGAAATCTAGAATGCTACACTAAATGAATAACTGTGAGTGAAAATCTACATATCCGATACTTTTCAAGTACTTTAATGGTAGAAGAAATCTGTAGTAACTGACAAAGTTCTTACGATACCGACCAATCTGATTGATCGGTATCGTAAGAAAAATTTCCCTATAAGAAGAATACCAAAACTAAAATGTACTGCATTTTTATAAGGATAATTCCGATCTCGTTCTCTTTTTTCATGTTTGACATGAGCTGACGATGAATTCAAATTTTTCATAAAAGTAGTAAGAGTCGATGAGAGTGCGATACCACCCATTATACACATTACTGGTGCTAAAACTAACATCAATCGTACCATCACACCCTTAAACATGACATCATGAAAATTAATTCAAAGAGTTGATTAATATAATTAGATTGAAAGAATAAAGTAAAAGTTAATGTCAACATTTATACAAACGTACCGCAAAATAAATACTTGTTAGAGCGTAGAGTATGATGAATATGTTGTGATTACTGAGATCTTTAAAGCAAAAATATAATCCAACTGAAAAAGGAGAGAGATTAATAACAGTGTTAATTCTCTTAGATAGGGAAGGAAAACATTGCTACAATGTAGAATTTCTTTTTTAATCAACGAAAACTGCTCAAAGGTTTAATGAATGAATATACCTGGGAAAGTAAATACTAGAATTTGCAAATCGAAATAAAAAGAACTCCATGCTGTAGGTTGATGTTCCGAAACAGATGCAATAATAGGAATGTTATTTTTAGCATATGATGGATCCAGCAATGAATAAAACCTTCCAGTCCAAGGAGCAATTTCTGAAAATTTAATGTAAAATTGTTTATATTTCTTTGAAAAATTGGATATGAAATTCCAATTATAGTAAAACCTATCCCAAACATCTAGTCAGTTAATTCACAACACTTAAGAAAATTTAAATACATCAAAACAACAATAAGGATATTATAGAGCAAAGAGAATGTTCTCGAATATCACGAAGCTAAGTTACCAGACAAACCTAATCATAAAAAATTTCTTTTCCGAATCAATAATTTCTCTAACATTAAGGGTGAAGACATCCCAAAACCACTACTTAAAATAGCGTTCTAGTATAAAATGAAGTCAAAATTAAGATAACGATCACTTCGAATAACTATATTAAGATTTTACAACCCTAGATAAATTTGTCTCTGCTTACTTCCAAGATACGAAGCCACAATGACACTTATGGCAACAGCGCATGCAACAAACAAAACAGTTGATCGGAAAAGAAAATGAAAATCTCTTTCCGACATTCTCATTCTCAGCCATTTTGCAAACGCAACAATCTGACATAACCCAAAAACGCCAAAAGCCTAAAAGAGAGATGCAATTGAATACAGGAAAAAAATATATGACAGTTCAAGATCAAGAGTTGCAAATATAATATTTGAAAAATGGTCTTTATATCTCCTACATTATAAAATATGTTTTCGCAAATATGAAATTTAAAATCATAGATTGCACATAATTACTCACAAAAATGAAACAAATACAGTCATAATGGCAATTACCCTTATATAAAATAATTTATCAACCTTATGGCTCTTTTGTATGAGATATAAGAATATTAGTTTTACTGAGGAACATACCGCTAAATGCTCTGATGTTTGCACTGGTTGAAATCCCACAAAAGGAATTTGCATGGAAAGTACAGTTCCGATAGTATAGAACTGAAAACATTTAATTACAGTCAAGCAAATTAATACATAAATTTTTATATTTGCAATTCTGAGTTTATTTCCGACATTTCTGTTAATAAGCTAAATTTTTTGCATTTAAATTCACCAATGTTTGCTGAGAAACATTCTCAATTATTAAACGTGAAATATTAGATTGAAAATACAGAGAAGTACGAGCCTATCCTAGATTCATTAATAGAAGGCCGGACCGAGCAATACGTTCCAGCTAAAAATTGAATGAAATAAATCGATAAAAATTTGATCATATTTTCTCTGTCAATTAATAACAATCAAGAGACTAACCGTAGAATATGCTATATAAGTTTTGTTTGAAAATCGCCCAGTGCATATAAGTACCAAGACATGTAATGGAATAAGATTAATAAGAAATACATAACCACCCCAAGAAGAAACCATATAGAAATAACCAAGCGCACATAAAACTGCCCAATACACATTCCCGCTTTTCACTGACTGAAATTAGTCAACTTATATTAATCATGTTAATTAAGATTTCTTTCGCTGAAATTATATAAGCTACAAAATCTCAAAGAGAGAGGAAGAAATTGAAGAAAACGAGCCTTAATCCATAAGTAATAGGTCAACAGCATACAAAATATAGCAATGCCTTCGTTGTCATACGAACCAGCAACAGATCGAGAAATATAACCTGGAACTATAGCAATCATCGAAGCAGCAATAAGTCCAGCAGAATCATCCTGCAAAAAACGTGTGAATTTGAACTGAAACATGAATAATTAAGTTGAGAACAAGCTAAAAACTGGAAAAAAAATAAAGTGAAATTTGAGGCAGATTTAGAATATTATCTCAATATATTGCAAGAAAACTACGTACGAATTGAAAATTTTGATCTTTGATATTTTTTTTCACTGCTCATGTACTGAGAGCTTTAAAAAAGTATTCCAATATCAAAAAAGTATAAATCTTTGCTCAAATACTTTGCAACACTTCAGATATTCAACAAATAGCCTTTCCTAAAATCAGTACAATGTTTCGTAACTGCTTACCACAACATGTTAATAGTATAATTCGAAAATAACTATTCCAGTCAAATCTTCTACTTATTCAAATCCTAAGCAAATTTTAAAGGTAAGAAATAAATTTGAAAGAATGAAAAGTTAAAGTATTATCAGACCTATTTAATGAACGATAAAACAATTATTTTTAACAAAAATCAAAAAGGATTCAATATTTGCACAACTTAGAGATGAGATGAGACTCATAAACATAGAAAAACCTTTAATTCCTTGGTTAGCATGTATGTTATTACAACTGTGAATGAGCTGAACAGTGGAGCCAGAAAAACACAAATTTCGCGCACATGTAATGCAATATGTATAAAATGTAGAGAGCGATAGATTAATGCACTTGTTACCATCAATCCTGAATTGCTACACACATTTTTGAGTAAGGATAAATTATTTTTGAGGAAAAAGCTGAAAATTAACAATGCGATTCCGAAGGAAGAATAAATTTTTAATAAAAATAACCAGGATAGATCGTGCCACCGATTATTCTCCCCAAAGGATACCAAGCTCTGTCATCGAACCAATTATGAAAACTATAATATCCTTTTTCTGTCAAATATCTTGTTGTTCGGTAATTGAAATAAGGATCAAACTGCAAAAATCAAATTTTACCACTAGACGCAAACTGTAATAATGATGTAATTAAATAGTATGAGGTTAAATAAAATTTAGAAGCAAGAAAATAAAAAATCGTGACTGGCTTACTTCATGAATTACTGACTCGAATCTGATCACGGCGAACAATCGGCTAAATGATGCATTGTTAAAAAAATCGTGTCTTGTAACAGTTAAAAACTTGATATAGTGAAATACGATTAAAAAAACTAATTAACATTTTAGAACACAAGTATAAAATTCCCAATACAAATAGCAATACAGAAATTTTAGTTTTCTTGCACATGATTAGTAAAGAATGAAATATTTTATTAACCAAGAAAATGCGACCAATGCTGCCAGCACCAATATCAACATTTTCAAAAATGTTTCCTGTTTGTCGTGCGTTAATCGTAGAATCCTGGCGACGTTTCCTGACATACCTTAAACTGCTTTACATTAAAATTATTGAACTATATTCTTGTGTAACACAAATTCTACAATATTAAAGCATTAATAAGGGATAATCTACAAATTAATGACTCCATATATGCTAAATTTTTGGTATCAGCATAAAAAATTATTTATTCATAGAATTTAACAGCCAGACATCACCGAGAATTTATGAGGAGGATAAATTATAAATATGTTGACTGTAAGGTTATCAGATCAAAATGATAAATACAATAAAATTCTAAATAACATATCTCTTAAAATATGAAATGGGTAATTAAACAAGCAAAATTATGGGGAATAGACTTTTAGAGGGCGGTAACATGATATGACATGACTTAATAATTTTTGTGGTACAATAAACTACTATTTTTTAAGGATGATAAACTATTTTCGATTGACAAGAAATTGGTGCTTCAGAAGCAAACTATTATTTCTAACGGCAGTAAATTTTAATTTTATTGATATTTACGGTTAACTTTTAATCGTACGGTTAACTTCTAATCTAATCGATTAAGAAACTGCTCAGCCCTCACTCCGCCACGTACTACAATTTAAAGACACGTGTATCGTACTTCACAAATAAATATGAAATGCGCTGTTTTCACTTATATTACTTCCGCTACAAAAAGTATGCCATCTAGTAGTCTGTTCTCTATACACTTAACAAGCTCTTTCGTTAGATATTACTAAGAAAACGATTTCTATAAGTTAACATTTCAATTTTAGTACGAAAAGAGAAAGGTTTCGATATTTGCTGTATTTAAGTGTCAAGCTAAGTGCTGTTTGTAATAATATCTTATAATATTTATATTTTAGATCAAAAAATGAGTGCTTAATTTGTGCTACTTTAACGGAGCCATTAAAAAGTATAAATTAGTTGTTTATTTTTAATTATAAGAAATAAGGGTTTGATTCATAATACGTTTACTTCAGACATTTGGATAATGTGAATCAAAATTTCGGATTAGAAACAATCGTGATGTTCTAATTTGTAATACATCATAAAAAATGAACAAAAAGAGCTGAAAAATGAATACATACAGTGTTTTATTGAGATACCATCAACAGAAAAATTGCTTCGGATATATTCAAGAAATCAATGACAACAAATTGGAATTACGGAGCTTACAAGTCAATTCTGTTTTAATAAATCATGTAAATGACCTACTTGGCAAAAATCCTGTGACACGACTAGATTATCTGTTTACTATTAATTGAAATTGTCCTAAATATTGCCCCGTTTAGTTTTAACGCTACGACCTTTCGATAAAATAATGAATAAACGAAATTTGATGCATTCTAAGTGTAGATTTTAATGAAATCTGCAATAAAGGTTGGTTCATTAGCACTATAAACTTGTAAAATTAGTAGTAACGACCCACAAATCTGTGGTATATTACAAATTTATAATACGAATATTAGCATTTACAAACTTGAAGTACTTCTGATCAATAAAATATTCTCAGATCTGCTTGGATTTTGTGAGAGTAAAGTGGTAATTCTAATACTTTATTATTTTACCAAGTCTTTACTATCCACTAAGTATTTGCGTGAATATCTGGAAAGTAGCCACAATAATTGAAATTTTTTACATTTTCCTTACTACTTAAATATGACGTCATGGAATTATTTAATTTTCAGTTAATTGTACAAAAATTGGTTACAACACTTATATGCAGTTCGTTCGCAGTTGAATTGTCTTCAGTCGAAGACTGGAATATTGTGGTATGTTTGTGGATAAATTTGATCTGTTTTTGCTTAAATTCAATTTTTAGGCTACTCACGCATATTAGTTTTGAAAAAATAATTTGATGCAGCTTTCATTAAAAGGATATGCAATCATGCTGGATTAGTAAAATAAACTTCAATCAGTATTCTAAGTGAAGTAAATATAAGCAAACTTTTCGTACCAAACATTTATCTTGAATATTTCTACTATATAAAATAAAGTAGCTAAAAATGATTTTTGAAACTTTTTAGCCAGTATTGTTTTTGAATAATATTTTTTTAACGAAATTTATTCGCAGAAATTGAGTATTTGCTTTAAAGCAGCTTTAGTTAATAACTGTTGGCCAAAAGTATGCTGTTTCGATAGCACAAAATATTCTCATCTATTTTACCGTTTGTTAGTTTAAACCACAACCTTTGTTTTCTTATGAAAATCAAAATTTATTACGTATACAAATAGAAATTTTTGTGAGTAAATTAACTAAAGACATTTAATTATATCAACCAAATGGTGTAATAAAATACATGAAATGAAAAATTTCTAAGAAGATTCTCAGAAAAATAAAAAATCTAATTTCCTTTATCACATAATATAACATGCTTTTGCCAATTTTTGAATTTAATTCTACAGCAAATTTTTGAAAAAGCTAATGTCATAAATTAATTTTGGAAACTTTAAATTTCCAATTAAAAATTCTTGGCTTATTCTGAATCAACAAAGTAAATGCTGAAATTGCTTGTAGCTTAATGAGAAAGTTATAAACTCCTTTAGTTTTATTCCATAGTATTTTTAATTCTTTAAATCATATAATTGAACATTTGAACAAATTTCAGCTCAGATTAAAGTATCTTCATCTCTTGCTCAATGCGCTTTCTCATGTGCTTCAACTGAATTACATGTGAAACGTTTTACTCCAGTTCTAATCGTATCAAAAGCAGCATGTCAGAAGACGCTTCTAAAGGACTTCCTGTTTCATTTCTGAGTAAGATGGAAAGTCTGTATTGCGATATAAAGCCCTCATCATTCTTGTCCAGAATTGAACAGTATTGTGGAGATGCTAATACCAATATTACTGCTCGAGTCTTACCCGAAACATTAATCAATGATGATTTTTATGAAAAAGTTGACGTGCTTGCTGTTTTTATGCTAACTGAACGTAAGTTATTTATTTTTATACATATTAGTGATAACACTTATTCTTGTTGTGCGAAATAAAGCCGTAAGTCACTTATAATAATTATTAACAGTGTTTGTTATGCAAAGGCAGCAGATATTCTGTTTTTCATTGATAGTAAATATCTAATTTCTTAACATTTTTAGGTCAAAATACTGTTGAAACCATAACATTGTCTGCGGTTTCTAACTGTCTTACGAATCAGATTGCTTACGCCTTATTTATAGAACTACCAGTGGGATGTTCTCGTTTTGCTGCAGTACAGCAAATATTGAAGGTATTTTGTCATTTTAGTTTATTTTCAACATAAAAACCGTTTTATCTATTTCTGTATCATTTTTTATTGTATTCTGCAAATTATTTTTAGTGTTGTAAGATTAAAAATATGACTTAAGGTTTTGTTTCCAGCAGTATCATCCACACCACTGTCTACTTTCACGCAGACTTTACCAACTCTTTATTGGAGAATACGAATGGATTAAAATATCATTTTTACCAAAAAATCACATTCGTCAGCTTGAAATATTGGAAGTTCTATCGGAAGTTAGCTAACATACCTACTTTCAGTGGCATTATTTATATCATACCGAAGTTTCTGTGATTACTGGATACATTTAGGAAAAGTTGCCGAGTGATTTTGGCAGATTTTTGCAAGACCATTTGTGGAAGACACATGAGAACTACCCATTCATTGTTCCAAGAAATGGAATTGAGGTGGAAATAAATCTCAGTAGTAAGCCTTTCTATTGAAAACATAAACTGTCTATTTACACGGAAACTTTCAATTCAGTACCATTCAAACTATACAAAACTTCTATCGTTACAAACTATTTTTTATACCACCTTCTTTTTGCTTTTCTTTTTTCACGAATATGTTGATTTAAGGTTGTTTTTAAAACATGTTTTAAAATATTTTCAGATGATACAAAAGTACAGTGTATTATAAGACCTCGGCTTGTTGACGAACGATTTGAAAAATGTTTTTTAATTATTAGTGGTTTTTTTCCTCTAATTGAGTATTTGGTAAGTTAAGTATTTCACACTAATTAACTGCGATAAAAACTTAGTGGTTCTGTCAGTTTAAAAGATTAATTACTGAATATATTCAGGAAATATTATTTTGTCCATGGCTTTTAAGGTATGGCGATTTGTCATGGTATATTTTGCTAATCATTCTTTTTATTATAATCGGGTTTTAAAGGATTATAATTGCTACTTTCTAGGAGAGGCAATCAATGGACGTTCGGTTTCGAAGATTTCATGTGAAGGCGAGCATTCAGAAGGCAGCAATAAATTTTGGCGGATGGAAAAGTGAAATCATTGAATTTTCGTATGCTAAATTTCTATTTGTGTTGGTAGAAAATAAAGTATTTCAAGTCTGTAAGCTGGACAAGCATCTTCACTATCCTTCATCACTGCAATGAATGTCATAGAAAAAAATTAAAGGCATAGATTTAAGATTTTATTTAAAAAACGTTTGAAAAATCTTTGATTTTAATTACAACCTCACATTACATTGTTAAAAAACTTAAAAAAATTTTTTGATCGTATTTGAAGTTCAGTGTTACTGTTTTTCAGGTTCCAAGTTTCATTAATTGAACGACTGTACAATTACATTATGTACCATTTCAACAATTCCATCTTCTCATCAGCACGAAATCTTCTCATGGTGGGTGCTAAATCAACAGGAAAAACATCCATGTTACATCTACTTGCAAAAAAGCTGTTGTACTGTCATTTAGTCGTTTACAGCGAATATATCACTTGCTCTGATTGGAGCAGTATGTTTTCTTCTTTTTTGATTTTTTCGTATTTTGTGCTTAGATTACAGAAAGACCAAAACATTAGTTATCACATTTTTTACAGAGTTTTATTTTCCAATATAAATTTCTACCTTCAGTTATTGCTTTACTCGTTTGTGAATGAGGACTGATATTAATGAAAGTTTCAAATATTCACTGAAATCTGTGTATTTTTTTGCAGCGAAGGCACCAGAGAAATTTGAAGATTTAATAAAAACCTCTGCGGGGCGTTTGAAGCACCGTCTTCCATCAATTCTTTTTTTGGATAATTTGGATTACTTACTCCACGATGGCGAAGAAGGTGCTAGAAATCTTCATATTGAGAAATGCATCGAATGTAAGTTTATTTGCAATCATTATGATATGTTTTAATTATTTCTGTTGTACTGTCATTTAGTCGTTTATAGCGAATATATCACTTTTTGGATAATTTGGATTACTTAATCCACGATAGCGAAGAAGGTGCTAGAAATCTTCCTATTGAGAAATAAAAATATCGAACAATTAAATATGTTGCTTGATATCACAAATCTTGTTATATGATTTGACCAGCTGACAACAAGTACACTTTTTAGTGTTGCGGAAACTAGCCAGTGAAGATAATTTCTTGGTATTAGCGACATCATGTTCGAATCAAGCTACTGAACTGTTCACTAGAAATGGGGGTAAACGATTCTTTGGTTGCATGGAAAAAATTGAAGAATTGGGCGCAGTAAGTTGCTAAATAAATCTAGTAAACAGCAAATATCTTGAGCTCTATATATTCTTTAATATTATGTGTGACAAGAATCAATCTAAGTATTTACTGAAATTAGAGTTTACTTATTGCTTGTTTTGGCTTTAATTGGGCATATTTTTAGACCTGAACGTGAGTGGATTAATCTTTTATAAAAAGTATAATTAGTTAATTAATGTGGATAGATCTGGGATGATTTTGGAGCCAGCTTATCGTTGCTATTACTCAAATATGGGTTTTTAAAAATTCCGGTATAAATCTTCATTGCATCGCTTTATAAATTCAATATTATGTAGATAATACGATATATTTTCATCTTGCTAATCTCAGTAAAGGAAGGATGAATGTGGGAAATGATCAATGTTATGTTGTTTATTTTCCTTTAAACAATTTGATTTTTCATTTGTTGCGGATAAAAGACCCGTAGGTAATGATGATGGATACTTTTCTCTTAGCTTCAAGTTATTGCAATATTTGATGATTTTATATTTAAACATCGCATGAAGTATACATGTATAAAATTTTAAATTCTATTTAAAAAATTTTAGAACCATAACTTTATAACAGATAGTCAATTGTTAATGATTTTGAGCTATTGCTGAATGTTCCATCACAGTGACACCGTTTCACATTACTATTCGTTTTGTCGACCAGCTGTATGAGTAAACTGACTTTTTTTCGATGAATCCAAGAAGATTTATTGCATATAATTATCCAGTAACGACCCGGTTTTGTACATTCGATTTTGTCCATTTCTGGTACTAATTTTGCCACTAATTTCAACCATGGGTACACCATTTCAAGCTCATCAAAGTCAATATCGCGCTCATGCTGCTTGTTCATTATCATTCCCTCTGTTGGTCGCTTTTGATCTGGCGCCTAAAATTTGGAGCGTTTTTAAAAATTTTATCGAAATTTTGCGATTTCTTTAAATTAGTAATTAATATCTAGTTGTTGATTGAATTTTACCCTGATTTTTCGCAGTCTATCTTGATAAAATTTCATCACACTTCAGTTACTGCTTTTGTTGAATATAAAGTTAAATTACACCGTTGACTAATATTTTTATCTCCGACAAAATTAGTCTATGGATTTATTTCGCTATGTGCTTTCATTTATTTACTTACATCAGTTATATAACTCCAAAATCTGAATGAATTTAAATTAAAATGACCTCGTAAAAAACACCAAAATTGATATCACCATCTGTAGTGAAATACCACTGTAACCACCTTGCGTCTTCATTAACATCTACATAAATTTGGCGACGTTTTCGTGGTGAAATTACAATTGTCTCAAGATTACTCGGAGAATCGAAATTCACTAAATTAAAGCATTGGTCTACTGTATGTTTTGTTGCTGGTCGGCATTTGATTTCCTGAAAATTTGTTCTTATGAGTTTCTGATTATTCAGATTAATGTAAGTCATAATGAATATGTATAAGATCTCTTATGAATTTTTTTTATTCTTTATCAAAATTTTACAAGCTTGAGTTATTGCTTATTTGATGACACGCATCTTTATTGATTATTTGGAGTTTATTGAGTAATTTACTTCGTTTTTGCCTCCTAAAGTTACTGGAATATCCTCAATTTTTATGTCGTTAAGTAAAGTAGACAAGAAATTTTCATCATATAATCGGAAGCGTTCAGTGAAGTCATCAGGCATCATTGCTCGCGCTATTTTATAAGGGAAATGAATCCATTTTGATATATTCACCATTTCTACCGGACTTACCTTAAAAGAAAAATTGTAAAGCTACAAGCATTTTCTAGTAATGATTCTCAATTAGCTGATGATTTATAAAAAAACCAATTTTGCACTCGTACTAATTATTCTAGTTTAATTTTTCTTGTCATAATATTATATTACTAAAAATATCTTAGGCTTATCTTCCTGCGCATTTCGTACACGTATAAGTAATGAGTTGTTAATGTAACCTACCAGTTCAGGATAATTCTCGTAATGAAGGAGTTGAGAGAAATATGCTAAACTGCCATTGGTTGCTAACATCATAGTGAAGGGATTAATTTCGAAGCCATTCATGTCAACAATATGTCTTAGAGCGCTTAAATGCCCAGTTTTTTCTTCCTGAAATGCTTGATAAAATTCTTGACTATTCAGAAAAATCTTGAAATCAACAAATTTAATATGAAGCTTTTTGCGACTTTCGTCTGAAGGTCAAAGAAAACTTAATACGTCTACACTTTAACTTCAAATGTTCCTGATTTTTGATAACCTTGTAGGTGTCATAAAGTATGCGTGGTAACATGTGTTAATTATTAACTATTGGTCCTACCTGTTTGTTAACTCTTTTTAGCATATGTTCAAACTGAAGAAATTGTAGACGTAACGATTCTGAAGTGCGCACTGAGTAAGCTATAGCCTGTAATTAAACAATAAGCTATTCATTTTAAGCATTTCGTTCGGCATCACAGAGCTTTGTTAGCTTGTTATTAAGTACACTGAAAGAATGATTCAGGTTTTACTTAGTGACTGCATAAGGTAAGTGATTAAAAATTCTAAAATTAAAATTGTAATATTTTGATGAGCGAATTCAGTACTGCTGAAACGGTGATCTCTATTTTTAGAACAGACCTCTATATCGATTGTTTTGTATTCGACATACCATAGTAACCTGTTGGAGTTATCGGTAGCTTCTAGAATCCTACCCATTGGTAGCAATCTTTTAGAAAATATTGGATTTTCTGAGAAAGATATATCAGGCAAATCATCCTGTAAAAAATGCATTTTATTTATATACCAATCACAACACTTATCCGATAATAGTGACTAAGTTGTATGATAGAAAGAAAATGTTGCAATTTTTAGAAGCAGAAATTTAACAATCAGAAGTGAAATAAAAAATTTTAATTGAATTAAAACTGACAAGTTTAAAGGCTTTACGTATTCGCAGATGATTGTTAAGAGTTTTGGCTGCAGCATCAACGATATTCTTTTTTGCCGCTCTTTCACAAGCTAGTACAAAGCGATAAATATTGAAGTCATTGTCAAACTGGAAATACTGATAATTCTTAGTAATCGTTTGACAGTTACAAATTGTGCTGTTATTCAAAAAAGAAAGTAGTGTTTGCAATAAATTTTTAACTACCATACTGTGTGGTCTGATTTGCGTTGTGCTGCTGTCAGATGTAAGCAAGAAGAGAGTTATGCCAAAGTAAGCAGTTTGTTTTTTAATTATGCATGTAGAGAATATAAAACGATGCTAAGCTTTCATGCACGAACAATTTTTGCTCATTTTGTAATCAAAATTTAGTACAGTATATCTACTATTACTATAGTTTGAAAAATATAAAATAATGTTACCTAGGAAATATTGTAATAATATAATAATGTGAGACAAAAGGAGTAAAGATTGTGGTAGAAGTTAGTTTAGTAATGTTGGCGTAAATATATACGTACACCGGGATGTATTGGTTGATTGATTTTAAGACGCACTTCATTGATTAGTCGTTTAGATTCAGTACTTAATGGTTCTCCGAAATTGGTACTTATTGTTCGTGGCATTATCTTAAATTTTAAGAAAATTTTAAAGAAGAAACGATTTCTGCGATTAAAATAAAAAACGATGTTTAGTCTTGATGTGAAACATTTTTCAGCGTGTGTAATATTAAGATCAAGATAGAGATTTATGAATAATAGGAAAGAATGCAGTATTAAAGTTCAACTCGGCGCTAATTGAGATCAAAGTAATAAACGGCGGATCGGATTATATGATATAAGTACTACTAATAATAATACTGAAAGCAATGGTACGTTTTTATATCTGATGATACCAGCTGAGTTAGCATATATAGAAGAATAGAAATCGTGAAAGAGAAAAAAGATATAAGAATAAGAAGAGCTGGTAATTAAATTTAAGTGCGTGTGCATTTACGTATGCGTGTAATCATAGTACTAAAAAAATTGTATTGCAGTCAATTTTGTTTTGAAGGACCTTGGAAGAAAGAGATTTTGTTTGTTAAATAGAAGAAAAATGAGAGCAAAGGAGGCAATGCATGGAATGTGTGCTATTATGGTCATGATAACATCGGACAGGTTTTCTTGTTAGAGGTTGCAATGCGGGCACAAGTCAAAAAATTAGTGAAATCTGCTGTCTCTTACAGTAGCATTAATAATTATTTGTATAAAATATATATAATTTAAATTGTGTTATTATAAACTGCATAAATGTTAGAAGGAAGGAAATGTACGCAGATATGTAACGGCTAAGAAATAAAACTAACTAGTAAACGAGTGAGTAGGGATGATCGTTTGGTGGATGGGCTTTATTAGCTTTATCATCACATTAATTTGAGTTGATAAGATATGAAGTAATCAGTACTAAGATAGCGTGTGTTGTTGTTAGAAAGGAATTAGCTATTCTTTTAAGCATTATGTTAGTTATGTTAATTATGCATAATTTGTTTGCAGTATAAGCATAAATTTAGCAATTATAAATTTTCGACTGATTATTTTAATGGTTTGTTATCACAGGCTGGTTGATTAGCAGTGACTGCATGGGTATGATTAGGAAAAAGAATTGAAATGGATTTAAAAGAATGTGCTAGAAGTTTTGTGCAAGTTTTCTTAAATTCTCAACTTTTTTGAGTGATTATATATTATTTGAAAAACGATCGTAAAATTGTTTTGAATGATAAATTTTGTATTTTGCTAATTTTGAAGACAATTTTGCTTGCAAGTTGATCAAATATTTGATATACTTAGATTGGGTTAAGGCAAAAAGGTTATGTAAGCTAAAGGTCAGGCAGTGACGGATAAATGAAGAAGTGATTGCCGCTTTTTAGCGAAAAATGATAGAAAAATCGTAAAATTTGTCGCATGAAATAGAAGAATGGATTGATGATGGACGTGCGTGTATGAGAAAGACAAATGCATAATTTAAAAATAAACCGGTTATTGATCAATGACAAGAGATGATAAATAATGATGATAATAGTAACGGTGATTCCGACAGTGATAAGAGATGTTTTATTTATTAGATTACCTCATTCGCATCATTTATCAGCGCTATTTTCAATACTACCACCACTTCTACCAGCACTACTACCACTACTACCAATTACTACCATGTACTACTGCTGTCAGTTATTCAACACAATTCGTAATATGCTATTGATGCGCAGTACTAATGCAAATTAATTGTTGTAGTTTATTACAAACAGTTATATGAATTTAAAACTTGGTGTAAGGGAGCAACAATTTAAAGCATGCAAAATTAAATGAATACTTGTTTCAGTATATATGAAACTTTTACAAGAAAATTGACATTAATAAATAAATATGAAGATAAGAAGAGAAGTGGGCATTTGTTTTAGGTCAAGGAAGTAAGACAGATATAATTATTGTTGGATAAGAGTTGAAAATTATGCTACGATTTGTATCACTTTTTAAGAAAGTACTTGCATTTGCATATTGCATATTGGATTTAGATAATTTCAAATTTCGAATATACTTTGAGTATAATTATGAACTTCAATACATGTAAATTGTAATTAACACAAAATATTGATAAGACGTGTAAGGAAGGACAAATTTTTGTTCACGTAAAGTCAGTAATAATTAAGGTGAAAAGTGTTATCCACAAAGAAATCATTATCTTTTTATGATCTTATCATAGCGTTTCTTTGCAAAGAAATTTAAAATAAATTTTAGACATAAAAAATAGAGCTAATTTTGAAAAAATTATTCAGAAATTTAGGAGATTCGGCATTTAAGATTCTGTCCTTTAATTGCTTATGAGAGCATATAATAACGGTTGGAGGGGAAAGGAAATTTAGTAAAAATAATCCAAATCAATTAAATAACTGAGCAAACATTTTGATAATTCGTAGGAGTTATTTGCGCTAGCAACGATAAGATATTTGTTTTGGAATTATGTTTTAGGCTGAGCGTAAAGAATGCTTGAATAAATTTTGTGGTCAAGAAATGGAGTTCTGTATTCTAAATGATCAACTTCTGCAAGCGACACAAAGATGTTTCATTGGTGATTTAAAGAGACTAGCACGAAGAATTGTTCTAGAGTCGAAAATTAATGGTATGCATGTTCTAGTACTGGATTACTATGAGTTTTGGAATTAATCCATCAGCAGATTTATTTTTTAATGATCTGTAAATTTGTTTCTGTTCTGTAGGACATGAAAAAGTGCAGGAAGATGATATACGACAAGGGCTGAAAGATTTTCCATCAATTATAGCTCCATTTCAAGAGTCAAAATCACTGAAGCAAACTCAGTTAAAATGGGAGGATATCGGGGGATTAACGGCCGTAAAACAACTTCTCATTGAGATTTTTATTTGGCCTGTAAAAGTGAGTAATTTTTAAAATATTCTGATTTGGTCAGTAATTATTGAAGTATGACAATATTTTCGTACCAAAACAGTACTCTGAAATGCTTTGATGGAGTCGGTTTTGAATTTTTTTGAAATTGCAAATATTTAGCCTTTTAATTTGCATCATATCTGTAATTTCCGTAGCCAGAGCTATTGTTGATGCAAGATTTGCTTCTGCATGCCATAATTATAAAAGAATCAAAGACTTTTAACCTTGTTTCTTTTCCAGTATTCTCTGCTGTACCAAAATAATTCTATTCGTCTTGGTCATGGAGTATTGTTGCATGGGCCAAGCGGTTGTGGGAAAACGCTTATTTGTAAAACTTTAGCCGACCAGTGTAACTTAAATGTTATCTCCGTTAAGGCTTGTTATTCCTCTGTAAATTAACTAATTCAAATCTTTTGAACATAAACAGGTGAAACAAAATTAATAACATCGTATTTTTAGTAATCTGATTTATCCAAAATACATGTACGTGTATTATTTGTTATTCATGTAAAAAGCAATTTAAGGACTGAAATGGTCATTTATATAAAAACAATTTAGAGGCTAGTCGATTAACTTTGTTAAATCAGGTTATAGAAAAAATTTATCGTTGTGGAAATTAAACATGTTTTTTACTAAAATTACACTGTTAGTGTTATTTTGAAAAAGGCTATTATAATGATATACAGTCAGAGCTGGGGCAAAGCTTTTCTTTGTTTGAAGATTGTGAGGTTGATTTTTTTAATCATTTTGGTATTATTGTGTAATCTTTTCTATAAAAAGGTTATATTATCTATTATATTATCTAAACTTGCAAAATTGTAGAAATAATATATTTCCTTTGATTTTACGGTCGTAAAATTTGCAAAATTTCAAATTTGCTACAATTTTAGGTTTTTCGTAATTATTTTTTTTAGGGGCCAGAGCTATTGTCGAAATTTGTTGGTGAAAGTGAAGAAAATGTGAGAAAAATTTTCAGACAGTAAGTGTCCAATAATTTTCAAGCGTATCAAAGTATCCACATGCATTTTACAACTTTGTCTGTAAAATGTTACAACACGAATGATGATTAGACATTTAGGACTAAATTAGTGGCTTTATTTATTCACTAAAGTGAAATTTGTTTTTTGTATTACTTTTTTGTAATAAGTCTCTGTCACTGTTTATTTTTTTAACTGAAAGTAGATCGTTTATTTTAACGTTGAAATTCATAATAATGCGTTTTATTCTTGTTTCTCATGACATTAAGTTTTTACGCTGTGTATGACAGAAATCTAACATTTTTAGAAATGTATTAATAAATTTTTTTTTGAGGCAGAAAAATTTTTGCAGTAGTCTTAGTAATGATAATTCATCGTGCTTTTTGAGGGCTCGTGCAAGTAGTCCCTGTTTAATATTCTTTGATGAGTTCGATTCACTTGGAGCAAAACGTGGAGAAAGCAATGCGGGAGTATCAGATCGAATGGTAAATCAGTTATTGACAGAATTGGATGGCGTTGAAGGGCGCAGTGGTAATGAATTTATTTCTTTATTTACATAGAATTTTGCTTGTTTTTACTGATTTTGGTTCTCTGCTTTCTATCTGGTGTACAGTTATAAGCTATGTTAATTTGGTTCTTAACAATTATGTGAGATCGAGATCACTTATTAAAGTCGAAAAATCAGATTGAGATCACTTGTTTTTGAAATTAAGAAAACGCACCAAGGTTTTCGTATTTTAGCTTATGAGTACATTATTGAGTTCTTAATTACAGATGTATATATTATTGCGGCTACAAATCGAATTGATTTAATTGACAATGCTTTATTACGACCAGGACGTTTTGACTATATAGTTGAATGTGAACTACCCAATAAAGTTTGTTTTTTAATTTTCTAACTAGTATTGTTTGTTTACCTTTTCTCTTGCTCTACAGAATAGAATAAGATAAAGTGCATAAATTATTCACTATTCGTTTTTACTTATCTTAATTTTGTGAAAATATTAAATTTCTATGTGTAATTACAGATGTAGGCCTAATGAAGCATAAAATTTAGCATTATGAAATTTGTGATTTATGTCAAGAGAGAAGATCAGTTTTTATTTGAACGGGAGATAATTAATTTAGGCATATAGAATTTGCCAAATTATATTTCCCACAAAATTTAATTTAGAAATTGTATTGTAGATGGAACGAATATCAATAATAGAAGTTTTAACTCGTAGTATAAGATTGCAACAAGATGTGGATGTAGAAGCAATAGCAGAAATGACCGAGGGCTGGACAGGTGCTGACTTGAAAGGTCTAATCACAAATGCACTGTTGATTTCTCGCAAACGATCAAACAAAAAATTTGGTAATGAAAGTAACTGTAGTATTTCAAGATTATAGAAATTTTTATCGATCGATATTTATAATTAAATTTTCCGATTTTAAGACTGAAAATAAGGCTAGATTTGATTTTGAAGAGATTAATGGATCATTATTTGCTGCTCTATTGCTGTGCCACATTTTACGATTGCTTCATTAAAGAACCAGAAATGGATGAATTCCAAGATTAACTATGTCTCACTCCTTATAATTTAAAACTGTTTTTAATGATTAAGTGAACTGTGGTAGTTTTATTTTAATGCTCATGTTTTTATGCAGATGCGGTATTTGTTGTTAATCAAGATGATCTATTATTTGCTGTGAAGGAGTCGCAACCGAGACGAACCATCAGTTGCTGTTCTGAATTTGAAACGAGACGTTGTATTTCACCCGGGTCATTTGCTACTTTTGCTTAGATTTACTTTTACTTCAGATTTTTAAGGTAGAATCATTCACTTTGTTATTAAAAAATTGTTTAGGTATTCTATTCTTGATGATTTAATTTGTTTCCATCTGCTTCTCTGTATTTCAGAATAAATTTATGTCTTTAACTGACTGCTTACAATCTTAATTTTGAAATAAATATGTTTGTCACTCATGTTTTTTTGTTTCTTCTATACCAAGTGTCTGTTGACTGTCAAATCATTTTTATCTTGTCTTTGCAGATTTTTGCATAAATGATAAAATGACTTCTTTGGTGTTATTTGTAATGTGAGTTGAAAATTGCATGTGGGAAACAGATTTTTCCAGTACATTATTCTGTTTGTACGTTTTATTGACATCTATAATTAAGATCTTATAACTGAACGACACCTAACAACTGGTGTAATTTTTTTCAATCAAAAGTGATGGATAATAAGAACAAGGAAATGTTATGGGCGAAATGGAAGTTGGATTTAACAAATATTGGACCAAAGGGTCGTACAACAGATCCATCTCTTACACCACCAGGTTTTTTACAGACAGGATCTTCTACGCATCAGGTGTTTTGTTCTGGAGATATCTAGTGCATTCTCTCAATTTTTAGATCATTTTATCTATTACTAGTTGTAAGTTAACTCTTCGATTGGTTAGGTAGAACAAAGTGGAATCAATGAGCAAACAGATCACTTGGTAAAGAAACGCGCGTGGGACATGGCTTTGCAACCTGTCAAAAGTTTACCTATGAACATGTTTATGATGTATATGTCTGGCAATACAATTAGTATATTTCCTATTATGATGATTGCGATGATGGCTTGGCGTCCTGTTAAAGCACTGATGAGTGTTAATCCAGTCTTTAAACCTTTACAGGTATTAATTTTTTTATAAAGACGATCTTTTACTCTTGAAAAGAGAATGTGTTTATTGTTTTTGAATTATTTTTAAGGCATCTAATGCATCACTGGCAATTGAATTTATCAGCAAGTATTTGATGTAGACTTGTTGCATTATTTTGGAAATGTATTCTTAATGAGCTTTTTGTAACAAATGATACTTTTAGGATGAGCATATAGGTTCACTTCTTCCTCACAAGCTTGTTTTTGTTCTTGGAAACATGGTTGCGATAGCGATGGCACTTTATAAGTTACATGGAATGGGATTGTTACCTAATCATGCATCAGACTGGCTTGATTTTCAGTTACCTCCTCAACGTTTGCAATATTCGCTTGTTTCTGATACTTATATCGCATGATATAAAAATGCTTACTTGCTGAAATGTTCTTGTCTGTTTGCAAGGATATTGAATTTTAACTTGTTTTTAGCTAAAATTCTTCGTAGCAAATTGAATTATTAATTTCGTAGCAGAACTAATAATAATGTCTGTTCTTAAAATTGAAAAAGTAAATAGCATTTGTATATAACTATTTGAAAATAGAATTATTTGCAAGTGTATTTGATTTTTTGTCTGAATTTTATTACATAATATTAAGTAATATGTCAGTTTGTTAATTTCACTTGAAATGAGTAATTGCACAAGAGTACTCATTAAAAAAAAATACATGATGTGAATTAGAAATCATTTCTTATAATATAGTGATTGTCGGGTTATAATGCTAAAGTAAAAAAGCATCAAATTATACGAGTACCAAAAAAAGGAGAAGTCAAACATTAGATGATTATTTCACGTAAATACAAATACTGATAGCGTTGAAGACTTCAAAATTAATGGAAGGAATAAAATGATTAAATATTTGTATTGTTAGTGCAGTTTATCACTTGCAGTTCTTGATAGGAGTGACGTGAGTAGCACTCTTTTGGAGTTGATTCCTTACATGTTAAAATGATCAAATAGTAGCAGTACTATACAATTCATTAAATTTTGCTTTCAGAACAAATTAATGAAAGTTTGACATAGATGACAGAAAAATTTATTCAAACATTAAGGATGGAAGTTGCATTCTTCCGTTCTACGTCGATTTTTTCTATCAAATTCAAGAGTAATTGAAAGTTTTTCATCAAAAGTAGAAATTATCAATGCAAACACATTCAATACGTGATAAATCACTTAACTAAATGTAATTACTGCAGAGGATATTCGCACTTGCAAAACTTATTAAAGCAATTAATTCACGTAATGAAAGTGTAGGAAGTACGTGATATGGTTACTTTAATCTAGAAAAAGTGGCGGTGCATAACTAAGCACAAAATATCTTTAGGATTAAAAATTTTAATTTCAAAATTGTAATAATTTAAATGATTGAAAAATAAGTGGAATAAAATCAGCTTAGAAGTAATAGACGTATAGACTGAATAAAACTGCTTGCAATAATAATTTCATTTATTACAAGAGAAAGTTAATTACTTTCTTTATAAAACATAGGCGGAGTGTAGAAGTGATATCTTCCTCGCCCATTTTTATTACCATTTCCATTACTTTTGCTCATTTCAAGTTTTTACACTGGTTGTAAAGAAGTGTAATATGCAGTCACTTGCGCCATCTAAAAGACTTCTAACAATTCACCACATTGAATTTTATGTCTCAAATGCTTTGCAGGTGATATTTCAGGTTTTATTTTATTACACATTGATGATTATTTGCAATTAAAATTAATAATTTAACACATTTCTAATCATTTCATACTTTAAATATAAATTGCTGTAGATAATGCAGTTATTGATTAATTAAAGTATATGATTTTAATGGTAATCACTGATTGATAAAATCAGTTAGTTGATTTTTTGAACTTTGTGAAGATTTTTAAAAATTATATGCATTATTTTATTCAATTTATTAGTTAAAAATTTTGATCACAAGCTCACGCTAAAATATTGTGAATGATTGAAAAGAACAAGTTAAATGAATTTATTTAAAAGTAATTAATAACTCGTAATTTCCAAATCATTATAGTGTAAAGATGGTACAATAACTCTTAACTAATTATTTACTGAAATAACTTATAATTAATTGATAGAATTACAATCTCTTTGGAATTACTTATCAAATTCGAATGATATTTATTAATTTCTATTTTAGATACCACTAATTACTGATTATTAAACGTTCGATATGTAATTACTGAATTGCACTTATTTTTACAAACTTTAAATTGAAAAAATTTTTGTTGAAGAAAACAAATTGAGTGCAAACATTGCTTATCATTTTCTTCGAAATAATCAAATTTAACAGAAAATATCAATAAAAAAGAATCATTGTAATATATATTTCAATATTATTAAGGCGTCATATTGGTACTGCATGAATTTTGGTTTTCGAAGATTTGCTATAAAAGAAAATGAACAGTGGCGCAGCATAGCCATTCGTAATGGGAATGTAAGCATTTAAATAATTACAACTAATTTATTAATTTTTTGAGAAAATGTCAGAAAATATTTTTTAATTAATCAGAAAAAACACAAATTATTGAAGTAACTTCAAAATTCAAAGTTAGCATATGATGAAGTTAAGCTAAAAATGATTAAATCTGATAATATTTACTGCTTATTTTGCCGCCCTTTATAAATTTTTAAAATTTTGAAAGGTTTGAAAATGAAATTGAGATTGCATTTAAAGATTGTATTCATATTTACAACATGCAAAGAATACGATGAAGATTTTGTTAAACATATAGCAACACATGGGGATTCCATTAAAAATATTGCATTTGTTGTTGATGACATCAACGCTACTGTTGAGGTTTCCTTAATTTATAATTGTGCATTTTACTATAACTTTTAAAATCCATAAACAAGTCATAATGCCGTTCAAAATGCAATGATAATGATAACAAGCAGTAAGAGTGATAATACTATAAGTGATAATATTGAGAGTGATGGAGGAAATATCAGTGATATTTAATCAATTTTAACAGGTTCAATATATTGCATCGTTGAAATTATTATTATTATGATTATTATTATTATTATTATTATTATTATTATTTTATGTAATAAATTGTGCATTATTTTGAATGAAAATATTTTTATTTATAAGCACTGATAATATTAGTAATATTTATGATAATAACGGTAAAAGTAATGATTGTTGCTAATAACGGTTTCAAAATTATAAAAATATAATAGTGATAATGACAATTGTTATTATTACTACCATAAAAATAAACGGAATACTATTGATTTTCATTTCAGCAAATTGTGGGAGCAGGTGGATTCTTAGAAAAACCGGTTGAGATCATTTCTGATGAATATGGTTCCATTAAAGTTACAATGATTGATTCGCCGGTTAGAAATTATGATCGTTCAATGTGATTAAACAATTTTAACTTAAATTCAAAATATTAGCAGCTACATATTTTTGAGATAATTTATGGCTTTACTATTTTTATTATTGGCACAAGAAAAAGCTAAAATGCTCAGGTATTTTTGTTTGATAATAGTATTGAATGATTTTGGATATTTGAAAGAATATTTTTACTGGAAACAAAAGAGTTTCTAAAAATAAAAGTTTGTACCGTTTTAGGAATGTGATGTGAGTCATAGTTTGCTTGATCCAAAAACATACAACGGATTCTTCCTACCGAAGTTCGAATCATTTGGTGACAGCAGTGAACTACTTGAGACACTGTATGATTATTGTAAAGATTTTCAAAAGAAGCTTTGTTTTGTAGGCAAATATTTTCTGAAATTTTGATTTTTTCAAATGTTTACTATTTTGCTGTAAATAATATTGAATTTATCGATAATTGAGTCATGTGCATACACTGATATTACTGATAGTAAATAATTAAAAACATAAAATCGTAATTTGAATTGTAATTTAAAAAAATACAAATGATATAGAGGAAGAAAAAGGTTGCTAACTCAACAAGAAGCAAAATTGAATCTTTAACTTAAAATGCTCAGAAAAATTAATGCCTAATTTTAGGCAAGAAATATCGATAACTTCCATAGATCACAATCTTTAACTTAAAATGCTCAGAAAATTTAATGCCTAATTTTAGGCAAGAAATATCGATAACTTCCATAGATCACTTTGTAATGGGTTTTCCAATGAACTCCTCGCATTCTGCTTCTGCATTTTATCATCGAATCTTCGATTTACAGGAAATATGGTCTGTTTTTAGATGGATTGCTATCTTTGAAATGAACTAACAGCGGACAAATCAGCAAGAATATTTTTTATTAGTTGCAGAATTGACAATGAACTGAAATGTGGTGAAAATACTATTATTTAAAGATTGGTATAGATTGGAAAAATAAGTAGTTTATATACGAACAAAATGCATTGAAAGAATTTCAGTTGGATAATCAACAAAGATCTGAAATCGTAATATATATTTCGTACCAAACAAATTATAATATATACACTCTTATGCTAATTGATTTTAAAATATTTAAAATACTAACATTAATTTTTTAACTATTCACTTATATTCACATTGTCA